AGAGAGAGAGAGAGAGAGAGAGAGAGAGAGAGAGAGAGAGAGAGAGAGAGATCATCGCCGCAACAAGCAACATAGACAGGTGACTACCAGCACAACAACAACAACTAGTAGTCTTCTATATAATAGTCTAACCCCCGTCACATTGGCACACATCGGCACATGTTCCCGGTGTTTTGCGACGAGGAGGGAAAAACGATCAAAGAAAGGGATGGTACACTTTATTGTGTGGAGCGGCAGCAAGGAGCAACAGAATCTGCTCTCTCCCTAGTTTTCCTCGGTTCTCTCTCCTTTCACTAGACTAATGAATGTCTGTGAGTGAGCGTGTGGAGACCGAGCGAGGCTGGGTGACATGTGGACTGACGTGGACGCCGGAAGAGAGGAAAAAATCATGGACGGGGGTTAAAAAGCCGGACGATCATGCGGCGCCCCCTCGCAGAAAGCATCTGTTGCTATGATGTCCCTCGGTGATGAGGCGTGTTGCCATCCGCCGTGTGTGTTGACAGGTACCTCTCTCGTATCCCTCTTTCTTCCTTTTTTCCGTCGCAAACCAGAGTTTGTTGTGCTTCTTGGAGGTAAAGGCGGGAAAAGTGTGGCAAACAGCTTGCAGCAACGTCTGGACCTGTTTTTGAATTTGCTCCCAAGAATAGAACAAAACCTCGTAGCAGACATGTGGACGCCGGAGATGCGGAGCGCAGCTGCGGAGGCAGCAAGAGAGGCGCTGGAGGGCTTTGATCCTATCAGGACAGTGGCGGCGTTAGCGGTGTGCTACGCGGTGCTAAAGCTGGTGCACCTTGTCGTGACAGCCCCGGCGATCCCAACATCGGTGTGGGTGCCCCTTGAACCAGGTGAAGCAAGCGTCAACAGCAGCAGTACGATAGGTTGCTCTGCTGTGAGCGCGGCCGGCAGGGTTCTATCCCAGTATTGATAGCAGTACCCGCCAGTTTAACATGCTAGCCCGCAGGCGCATTGTGCTGTAGTTTAGCAGTTGCTTGCTCAATGGATCATCAGCGACAACCAGCATGTGTGGGATATTGGGTGCCGTCCTTTCTAGAGCAGTACAGAGGTGCTGTACAGCAGTGGCAAGATACGTACGGGCATACCCGCTGCTGTGGTTCGGCGACCAGCGCAGCAGTGCCTACAACTGGGGCCTGTTCTTCACATTGGTCAACCCTCCCAAACTAAATTGATGGCCAGTGCTGACTGGTAACCTATTGGGTTGGAACAGCTAACGAATGTGAGACGAACAACGGAAAACGGTACAGTAGAGGTCCCTATTTAGTGCTGGGGTGTGCGCCGAAATTTCACCGGCACTAAACTGGACACCGGCACTATTCGAAGTACAGCACGACTCGGTATTCCAGTGTTGTTGTTGTTGTTGTTGTCTTGACATTCAAAACCGTTCCGATCTCTCCCTACCCAGTTTCTTCGTATGTCCGTACTGATCCAACACTCGACGCAGTCGATTCCCGTGGTCGCAGACTAACTTACCCTAAACAGGAAGTACAAGGTAGTGTGTGCGAGCCGAAAACACCGGCACTACAAGGTATAACGGCAACCGGCACTATCCAACCGCCTCTAAACAGGGACCTCTACTAAACACCGAAGCGGGTTGGCGACTGGTGACACAAAAACGGTTAGGCCTGTCCTCCATCGGCCGTTTTATTTTCGATTTAGATACACAAACTTTATTTCTTTACTAATTTCAAGTAATTCCACCTTCTTATTCTCCGTCATACAAGCAAAACGGCCGATGGAGGACAGGCCTAAAAACGGTACACAATTACGGTACCGACCAAGGAGTTGACCCCGAAGTCTCACGCTGATTGGCCAACCCACCAGTAGGCGGCGGTTTGCTCATCAGCGGGTGTCATGATACGACCCAGCTTGTCGAGGTCGGCTTTCGGCGTGTTTTTTTCTGCCGTTGATGCCTCAGGACGTCGACAGACCCTTCGCCTTGGTGGGACGATTCGTCTTCGACGTGAAACGCACAATTACAACGACAGCAGTAGTTTTTTGTTTTTTTTGTCTCCCATTATTGGACGTTGTCGTCTGCCCTACTGGCCCCTATCCTCCACTTCTACCAGCTAGACGACCCAACCGGGGTCACATAGGAAGGGGGGGCTGGATCCCCTCCTGCGGTCCCTGCCTGAGATATTTTTATCGCGAGAAGGGTACAGCAATTTCTTTTCCCTCGCGACTCAGGAAGTCGATCAAGTTTACTAACAACGAGCTTTGCAGCGCGTCGCTTCCAACGGAGACCAGGATTTATTTAGCGAGAAAAAACTCACTCTGTCGGGACTCCATCCCATGACCATNCCTGCGGTCCCTGCCTGAGATATTTTTATCGCGAGAAGGGTACAGCAATTTCTTTTCCCTCGCGACTCAGGAAGTCGATCAAGTTTACTAACAACGAGCTTTGCAGCGCGTCGCTTCCAACGGAGACCAGGATTTATTTAGCGAGAAAAAACTCACTCTGTCGGGACTCCATCCCATGACCATGCCCTTCGCAGGCTGCGAGGCTACCCACTAGACCACCGGGGCGACCGGTGTATTGTTCCGGGGTGGGTGCACTAGTCCTACAGCAGTATGACAAAAGGAAGCTTGTTGTAACGTAGAACTGCTGTACTACCAGGATTTTTTGTCTTCCGGTGGTTATACAATACGGTGCAGGGGTTTTATGTCTTCGCCAAAGACAACTTGGTAGGGTCGAAGGAGTGTATGGTTGATAAGTTAGGGCCTGCAAGATACTGACGAACACCCTCACTGGCTGCATCCCCCCTCCTTCCGGATGCATCGCTTTGTCGTTCAGCTGAATCTGCGGCGGAATGCCTCTCGGGACCGTCTTGCAAAGGGATGCAACTCGAGGTAAGCGTATGGCGTAAGCGTACGGCGTAAACTCCCCTTGCTTGGGAACCCTCGTTGGTGGTGGTGTGTGGACATGGAGTACTGTGAGTTTTGCATGTGGTCGTCAGCACAGCATGGGAAGTCAAGCGAGTTCGTTTTCGTATTACAGTCCATGGTTGTATAGTAGTCATGCAGTAAGGGAAGCCGCTACTGCATTGTGCTGCTGTCCCGTATTCAGGAGCTACGTAATGTACAGCTTAAGTTGACGCGACCACACCCCTTCCCCTCCATCAGTCGTTTCCCTTCGGGGGGGCATGGAATACTCCTTGTGTTCGTGTCCAACTGCTGTATACATGTGGGTTCGTAGATCTATCAACGTGCAGACTTGCTCGTCTGGCGTGTCCATGCGCTGGGCCCGTCTCGGCAACATGTGCTTTTTTCCATCAGATCCGCGAAAATATTTCCTCTTACACCGCGAGCCCTACCCGTTCATCCATCTTGTGACTGATACTGTCTACTTGGTCCTGTGTGTGCGCGTTGACCAATCGTGGTTGCTGTCTTTCTTTCTTGGCCAAAAGGATCCTGAGCGGCCAGGCTTTATCCAGTGCTTCGACCCTTGCACCCTCCAGCGCTTGGGGGAGGTTACGGCCATGGATGCGGCTGATGTGGAAGATGTAGTACGACGGTAAGGAGACACAAGACGATGCAAGGGAGATTGAGACGAACAGCGAAGAGGGGGACAATGATATGGAAGCGAGAAAGACCGTGGGGGAGGCAAGGAGAAGGGGTTTGGAGCAAAGCGAAAGGGTTTGGAGCAAGGAGTTGCAGGAAGAATTCTCAATTTGCTGGGTGGACGAGAGCGGGAGGATAAGTCGGAAGCGCGAGAGCTTAAACACATACAACGTAGATCATGGAGACGCCATTACCTTTGAAGCGGGAAGACATGGAGCCGTAATCCCAACCTGTTGCCTGCTCTTCTCCTATTCCATGTCCATGCTTGCTCCCCACCATCGATGAACACCTGCGTCCTCCAGTGCACGCGTTGCCCAGGAGGAGTGGGCTCTGACGACCTTTGCTGAGAGAAAGCGGGTTCTCGCATGCCTGCAGAGGTACATTCTTGACAACCAAGACGACATTGCCAGAGTGGCGTCGAGGGATTCGGGAAAGCCAGGTAGGCACCCCAAGTACGTTACCTCCCTCCGTCCTACGCGGTCATGGCCACCTCGTTGACGACCTCGTCATGTTTCGTTTTGTGTTGCCTTTGGTTTATTGTGCTGTACCTCCATTGTTGATGGCGTTTGTGATAGTGGCGTCAGGTTTGATTTGAGCCGTATTCTGTCGGGTCGAGTTTTTTGTGGTGCTTGATTGAAGCGCAAGCATAACAATGCTCAACGCAAGCACGCTGGCACACGAGCTGTTGCCAGGTGCAATCGTGGCCGTCGTTTCTGGTGTGTTTCTATCTCCGTGAAACTGTGGCAGCAGCATCTTCTCTCACGTCCAAGGTTATGAAGGGCTGGTATCGATCAACTCAAGGTTGTAGACTGTTGTACCGACCGCGAACCTCGTGCTCGGTCTGTAGCTAACTTCGGCAGAGAAGGAATTCGTGGTTGGGCCAGGGAGTTCCATAAGGAGGGGAACCATGAGAAGCACACTTGTGTTGTTTTGCATCCTTCACCCTTTGGTGGTGGCATTCATCCTGTCGAAACAGCTCTTGGCTCTCGCCGTTGTTGTCGGAAACAACTGCCTTCTAATATTTGGCAACAGCCACGCCCTGTCTCCGCTCTCCAAGCGTCCGCGCCCGTTCCTGCCTTGTCTCCCTCGCTTTTTGTTTGGTGGTGCCACCCTCCTACGGTGTTGGAGTTTGCCCCCACGATGAGGCAATTCGCGCTAGCTTGGTTGCCGTAGCACAAATCTTGTGGACTCTTCTGAGGCCAGCAACACCCTGCTACGTATCTGTTGCGTTTCACACATCTAACATCGAACTTCGAATGGTTTGTCTTGTCGCGAGAGCAGTGGTGGACGCATTGCTGGCGGAAGTGATGATCACTTGCGAGAAGATCAGGTGCATTTCCAGCAACGGGGAGGGGTGGCTTGCCAGGGAGACCAGACCCACGGGCCCCTTGGTTTTTTACAAGAAGGCGTACGTCGAGTACATGTGAGTGGCGTGTTCGTGTTTTCTTCTGGTGGCCTTGTAGGGTCTGTACGGTACGAAGGCAAAGTACCACGCAACTTCTGGCGCAGGATGCTACAGTACACCCAGGCGGTGGACATCATGGTAGCGGTTCCACAGGAGGGGTCGTTTAGGATAAGCGACAACGCGGGGGCTTAAAGATTGTGCAGTCACGTCTAGAGAAAATATGCGACCGATTCTTGCGTAGCCGCCTCCACGCGTCGTGGGTCTGGAGATTTAAGTCACCGGCTGGCCTGCCTGCCCTCGACACAGCAGGCATCTCGGAATAGTTTCCAAGCACGGCCGGCAAGACCCACTGCCCACGGGCTGTGACGTGCTTGGTGTGCTTCAATTCGCACAGAGAACGTATTGATTTCCGTGGTTTCGCTGGGTTCGTTTTTGCTTGACGGCAAAGCGCTGCGCTGCATTCCACTTCATGCCGTTGTGCAAGCGTGGTCTCATCCTCTCTGTCGCTGCGGCGAACACTTGCATGGACACAGGCCCTTGGGTGTGATCGGGGTCATCGCACCTTGGAACTACCCCTTCCATAACGTTTACAACCACATCGTCTCCGGGATTTTCGCGGGCAACGCTGTCGTCTCCAAGGTCTCCGAGTACACGTGCTGGTCTAGCAGGTACGTGAAACCTCGTTTGCTTTAGCTGTTGCCACGTGGGCGACCGGATGGAATGGTTTGTCACACGTCCCTCCCGAGACATGTATAATTTGAATGCGTATCTTTTTGGCGTGGCTCGCCTTTCGGTCGTAGAATACCACATTCTCATAGTTTCGCTGTCTGTGTTGCACTTTTGTGCGTGAGCGCAAGAGCTCCATCAGGCGGCTATTAATACCGTATTTTGGGAAGCTCACAGGTGAGGTTAAGAAGCACTCAACACCAGCACCGCCAACGTACCGTAGACGTCATTGGCGGCTATTTTTGTTGGTTTGCCGTTCCTCATTCTTCCGGGCGGCTTGGAGTCTGGTGGTTATGCCAACCACCGCGATTAGTTCCGTTGATAGTGAGAGTTGCTTCCTACCGGTGGCCCTGATGGCTGATTTCGTTTTGTTTGTTCGGGCGCACAAGTGCTCTCGCCTTTCCCCACCCACCCTGCATCCTCCTCTGGCCAAGCTTTATGGTTTTGCCATGTGCCGAATTGTGCGATGGCTGTTTCATTTATACTGCTGTATGGTGTGTTTTCAACTCCGGTAAGCTTCAAGCCTCGCGAGCGGGGGCAGCGTGAATAGATGACAGTAGTTTTTCTCGCGTCCACAGCGACGACAACTTGGCCAACTACCCCCGAACAACTCCTTCAAGGGCGTGTTTGGTACAGTACAGTACTTTTATTCCAGTACTGAAGTCCGTACTAAAGCAGCCAGTACAGTACAGTACTGAGGGCCGTGTTGTCAGTACAGTACATTCCAGTATCGGGAGTTGTACTGAAAGTACTGAAACTTTTATTCCATTATCGAGAGCTGTACTAAAACAGCCAGTACATTCCAGTATCGGGAGTTGTACTGAAAGTACTGAAACTTTTATTCCATTATCGAGAGCTGTACTAAAACAGCCAGTACATTCCAGTATCGGGAGTTGTACTGAAAGTACTGAAACTTTTATTCCATTATCGAGAGCTGTACTAAAACAGCCAGTACATTCCAGTATGCCTCGCAGGTACTGAATACTGTGCAGTACCGCCAGTATCAAGCGCTGTACTGAAGCGTGCAGTGTTGCGCAGTATTATACCAGTACTGGATGGAGAGCAGACCTCCACCAGAGCTCTTACTGAGCGTACTGATAGGTTGAGCGGAGTATCGAGAGCCGTACTAATTTCCACAGCTGAACAAGTAGCTGTCCTCACGGGCGCCTTCCCGCTTGTGACCGGGCGGGGGTACGAACGCCTCGATGGCAGCGATCGTAGCCGCCGGCGCCTCGACCTTCCTTCCGTGTTTGTTGTATATCGGAGCGGGCTTCTTTTGCCGCACCGACGGCGAACCTCCTCCACCCATAGAACCCGCCTCCACGTCTCCTTGCTTCTCCTCTTGGGTTAGGTCTTCTAGTGTTGATGCACCCGCAGCGGCATCACTCGCCGCTTCTGCGGCCGAACTACCTGCGGCGTCACCCATCGCTGCCTTGTGCTGGCTGCGGGCCACTGCTCGAGTACCAGTAGTCAAGTTCAGCAGTACACTGGACACGGCAGTATNTACCGTCCAGTATCGACACCCGTACTAAAGCGTGCAGTACGTTTTTTCTAGTATTGAAGTCCGTACTAAAGCAGCCAGTACAGTACAGTATCGAAAGCTTCNCAGATAAGGGCAGTCGTACGACCCCTACCGTCCAGTATCGACACCCGTACTAAAGCGTGCAGTACGTTTTTTCTNGGCTGTGCCGCATTTGTGCCAGAAGATGACGTCACCAACACGCCCTTCGGGGGATTTCGGGTAGATACCGGGCAGATAAGGGCAGTCGTACGACCCCTACCGTCCAGTATCGACACCCGTACTAAAGCGTGCAGTACGTTTTTTCTAGTATTGAAGTCCGTACTAAAGCAGCCAGTACAGTACAGTATCGAAAGCTTCACTAAAAGTACTGAAACTTTCATTCCAGTATCGAGAGCTGTACTAAAAGTGCTAAAACTTTTATTCCGTATCGAGAGCTGTTCTAACAGCCAGTATATTCCAGTATCGAGAGTTGTACTAAAACAGCCAGTCCATTCCAGTATCAAGAGCCGTACTAAGCGTGCAGTTTATTCCAGTATCGAGAGCTGTACTAAAACAGCCAGTATATTCCAGTACGCCTCGTAGGTACTGAAAACTGTGCAGTACCGCCAGTACTATACTGTACTAAACACACCCGTGAAAAACTCCTTCTCCGATACAACAACAGGTACTTTACGGCGATCATGGCCGAGGTGCTGAAGGCGTGCGGACACAACCCGGACCTTTGCCTTACCGTTACCGGCTTCGGGGATGCCGGGGCGGCTCTGGTGGCCTCGCCCAACGTGGACAAGATTATCTTCACCGGATCTCCTGAGGTGCGCAACGTGCCGATTTCTAAAGATTCATGCCTTGATTTTCACTTTCACTGCCGGTCGAGAATGGAGTGTCTACGCTTGGGCCTTCCAAGACATGCAATGGATTTATTAGGGTGGCATGTGTTGCACAACTGGAGTATACTCCACAATACAGGCCCACGCGCAGTTTCACACGGGTGTTTTACCATTTGTTCGTGGAAACCTGTAACAGTTCCGCCATGTGCGGTTCTCTGCTGGTGCTCTGCTGCGGGGGCTGGCAACCCCCCTTTGTGTGGAGCTGGAACTGGCTGAATTTTAGCTGACCACCTAGGTCGAAAATATCCACCATGGTACCTGGTACATATCGAAGGATGGAAATGCTTACCACGGGGAATATATGAATACTACGGGACGGTAGTGTTGCCTTTCGCGGTACGGGACTGGCGGGTTGTTGACGTTGGGAAGTCGGCTTGAGACTCAATGCTAGGCCTGACCCGAAGCCCTCCTCTTCACTCACAACGCGGTCTTTTTCGCGGCAGGTCGGCCGGAAGGTGATGGAGGGCTGCTGCAAGACCCTTAAGCCCGTGGTGCTCGAGCTTGGTGGCAAGGACCCGTTCGTTGTGTGCGACGACGTGGACATGGAGCGCGTGATGCCGTTCGTCATGAAGGGCTCGTTCTTCAACGCCGGTCAGAACTGCATCGGCGTGGAGAGGGTCTACGTGTACGAGAAGGTGAGGCCCGTCACACTCCGAGGGCGGCGTGCTTGAAGTACATGTTTGCTGTGCTTGAACGCAGACGTGTCTGTATGGTTGGCATCGACCGCGTTTACCTACTGATCAATCAAATGACGCCAGGCTCAGTGCGACTCGACACAGAAAACGCTTCCAAGGCCGCATCTGTTAGTGTTTGTGCGCGTTCTGTATCTTTGCATCACTATCCGGCTGGCCAATGAAAACACATCAGTCTCAGTGCGACTATATCCGGGTTTCTACGTCTCATGGTTGCCAATGCACGATTTATTCTTGCCCCCCTCCCCCCCAACCGCATCGGGGTTGGGTTTTCGTCGGTTAGCAACGACGTTGTAAAACAAGCCGCCCCTCCCGGTGTTTGCCATCGGGGTTGGGTTTTCGTCGCTTGGCAACGACGTTGTAAAACAAGCCGCCCCCCCCGGTGTTTGCCATCGGGATTGGGTTTTCGTCGCTTGGCAAAGACGTTGTAAAACAAGCCAATTCACTTCGTGAACTCGGCAACCAGGTTACCGGTTTTCTTTTTGTCAATCCGTTTTTTTTTTTGTCGGTAA